GTTTTGTGGCCCTCCGCAGCATCAGTGGCAAGCATATATTTGAGGGATTATGAGTGATATCTAGTGTTTCTTTAGGGGTTGGCAGCCGGGGGGGGGACAGGGCTGAACATTTACGATTGACTCCAAATGGATTTATTCCTTCCCAGAAAGTAACCAAAGCCTCCACTGACTCTCAGATGAAAGTCTTTTTAAATAAAGATCTCAATTCCACAAGTGTTTACATATTCACAGCACCTTAGCAGCTTTAGTGTGCAATTCTATAATGTGCCATGAGATCATGTTTCACCTTTCTTAATTAGTTGATTTCATGTGGAATTTTTTGTGTAATATACACTCACTATTGGCAGTTAATGCATAGAGGAAAGATACCTAGATCAGTATAGGCAATTGTGAAAAAAATTGTATGCATTTCTCCAAAAATTACTCTTTTAAGAGTTCAAATGCCAGCCTTCCCCAAAACGGTTAAAGCGACACCACTGCGTTTCCTCCTGAAAGAAAAAGGCTAAACCAACCAAATCGGCATATGCACACAACTGCTGTGGTTTAGAGGCAGGCGGTGTTTGAGCTGAAGCTCAGCCTCTATTCTGAAATCAAGTGCAAATTCTTAAGATCGTATCGGTCCAAGGGCGAGCGTTATACATGCATGAGTTTCAACCCATCAGAAGGCTAATTAAGAAATTCAGCAGCCTCACTAGATGGACCAATGGTCTACTGGGCCAATTGTTTGGGCTAATAGTGACTTCACAAGGCCCCCAATAAGTAAGATGGTGTTGGTTGCACATGCTGAGCATTATGTTCCTATATTGCCCATGGCCAAAGCTACAACAAACCTTTCTGACCTTCTTCATACAAAGAAGCAGTTCTGTACCTGAGCTCAAGCCTCCCCCCACAAGCAGGTGTAGGGCCACAGTTCCCAGTGGGTCTCTGACAGCTTGACCTCCTCATGAATACTTCAAGCCCACTTCAAGCCACCGTCCCCTGCATTTTCATTTCCCACCTTTTCTTAAGTTGTTACTTCTGCGCCTTTCGTTTGTGGCAATGCAAGGGAAAGCATGGCGGCTATCGTCTATCCAATTGTTTGCTGAAAAGTTAGTCTTTTTCTCCTCTCCAGTGTTCTGCCCAATGAATGCAAGGACTCCAAAATTGGGTCCTTTTTTAAATGTAATAATTCAATGCTTTACATTATGAATATTAAAGACATGCAAATAACATTCAACATAGTAGGCTACATATTTAGTATCTGGCTGTACTCCATTAATTTGCACACTTCACAGGGTCCTTTGTCACAAAAAGGGCTTCACGCTGACTGTGCAATTGCTACAATTCTGTGGGAACACAGAAGAGGTCACCCAATGTGTCTTTGGTCATGAAATCCTAAACATCTCAAGTCTGGTTTTAAAGAAAAGCAACTTTCTAGACCTTATGATTATAGAGATATGCTTAAAAGTTTGTGTGAAGAAATTGGTTAAAAGGCAGGGTGAACAATATTTGCACTGGTCAGGGGGCAGACTAACGTTGCTCTTTGCCCATTTCAGCGACAATTGGAAATAGATTAAATTGCAGAAAAGAAGCAACAGATGCAAAAAATGGCTTAATTTATATATTCACAGAATTTAGTTGCCTAAAGAGAACTCAGATTATTTTGGTGGGAACTTTAGTGTGTGTGTTTTAAAGCAATGTATACCCGGTCCTGGTGCTTACCCAACTTCTTTGAGATGGTCCAGAAGACCAGGATGTGTTTTATCATTTTCATATCTCTTTCCCATCAAGTTGCTGAGCTGTTCAGGTCCACCTTTGACCTTGTGTTTCATTGATGCCGCTTATCAGAGGATTGCTTTGTCAGAATACTATGCAATAAAAAATACACACATCATTGCCTGTTTTTGTGCACTGGAGGTGAGGTTTGGAAATTCTATTTGCTGGTGGTGTGACCTCAGTACAGGAAGCTTAGAGCAGTAACCTCCCATGACATTCCACAGCTCAGTGCAAATCAGAATCAAGAGAAAGCCTACCCTTAATGTGCCCCTCAAGAAATTACTGGAACCCACAGCCTTCCTTGCTCTTGCTCTGTCTCTTCTGCAGCCCCTGGCAGCGATCCACATTAGCTTGCCACAGCAGCTATCTTAACATTGTTCCTGGAGCACATCTGTTTGCTGGCCAAGATCCATGGCTCTTCTGGAGTATATTTTATTTATAAGTGATCTTTTATCAAGAGCTGAGTTCATGTAAAACACCTATATGCAGAGTGTCTAATTACACACCATTGTGCACATTTTGCAGGGTGTGGGGGAATTTGCTGAAGCAAAGGGGAAGCGTCAGTGTTTAACTTGCTGCTGAAAATTGGCAGCTTCTCTGGTTTGGCCATCATGTAAGTGTTCTGGCAATTTATAACTTGCCCCTTTGTTGAGCTTTGTAAAAAATTAAGCAGCAAGATTCAACAGGATGATACTCAGAATATTGGCATTCTGGATATGCTTAGGGGCAGCACAAAGTTTCTTTGCCTTTCACCAGTTAGAAGGGAGCTTTCTATGTTGGTGGGAATTGCATACATTTTGGCTTGATACTCTTGATACATAGAAATGGTTGTTATCATCCCATGTAAAAAAGGCGGGATAGTGGACTGCATATTTGGTATTCCTTGGCTGAATCTGTTTTTCCTGGGATGGATCTCTTCCTGGTCCACACCCCATCCCATCCCTGATCCAGGCTTTCTCTCAAGGGCTTCTTGTAGGAAGTTAGTACCTCATTAAAGACTACTTCCTTGTGAGAACTTGCCCGTTGGAGCAACAGGCTGGGATTTGCTTTGCACTAGCACTGTAGGAACTTTTGTTAAATCTGCTGCATTTGTATTTTGTGGATTGCCAAGCATCCCTTGTTCCATTGCCTCCTCCTTGATGGAATTAGATATTTTTGAGCAGAATTCCATTCTCCTTCCACCCATGTATGAATACTAATTTTCACTAATATGAATCAGCACAACCCCCATAAAGTGAAAGAATAGTTGGTGGAATCTGCATTTTTATCCTAAAATACACAGATTATTTGAGAATAGGGGGCCCAAACTGGAGAAAAAGTTAACCCATGGGGGAAAGGAAAAAAAATCAGAGTGATCATCCTGCTGATTCATCTCAGTTGGTGAACCAGATTAGCTTTAATCCAGGGTCCTCAAACTTTTTCAGTAGGGGGCCAGTGGAAAGGTGGCAGCGACGGGCATGGGCCAGTAAGGAGGGGGTCTGGGCACGCGGGCCGATGAGTCGTCCGCATCGGGCGCACGCAAGGCGGTGTCGGGCGTGTACAGCACCGCTTCCCCGCCTGCACTGCAAGGCAGCGGCCAGCATGTGTGTGGGGCAAGCAGGCAGCAGGGGCGGCTTGCTCTCTCGGAGACCTCCCAACGAGTCCAAAACCAACTCCGAGTGAGCAAGCCACCACCTCCCTCCCACGCAGCTAGGTGGTGGTATGTGCACAGGGGGTAGCGGCGCGAGCCAATAAATGGGCATGGCAGGCCAGATCTGTCCTGCGGGCCGTAGTTTGAGGATCCATGCTTTAATCTATTAATTGCTTATTATAGTTGCATATATATAAAGAGAGTGAGAGAGCGAGGGGGGGAAGCAAGGACATTTATTTTCAGGGGGAATCATATTTGGGGGAGGAGTTCAATGTTGCATTAACATTTCATAACTGGCAGCATTTTAAAAGAGGTATCTATGCTACGTTAGTGAGAAGGAAAATGCCTGTCTTAAGATAGTGCCTGCCACCCATGGTTTTTGTAACTATTTTATTTCTAAAAAAAAAATGTATGTGGTACCTACCAAATTAATTAGGGGATACTTTTTTCATTGATCAAAGGGGTTTTAATCTATAAATTGAACAGGTTAATACAAATCTATTTAGCCTGGAGAAAATAAAACAGAAGAGGGACATGGTAACATTCCTTAAACACCAGGAGGGCTGCCATATGGAAGAGAGCAAAGACTCGTTATCTGGTCCCCCAGAGTGCAGGTCGAGATCTAACAAGCTTCAGTTACAGGAGTTTAATTTTCAGTTGAACATTAAGAGAAATGTCTTGGCAGTAAGAGAAGAGCTATTTCCTAGAGGGGTGGATAATCTGTCCTTTCCTGGAAGTCTTCAAGCAGAAGCTGAACAACAACCTGTTCAGGGATGCTGAAACTAGATGGCCTAAAGCAAGGCCCCCTCCATCTATGAACTTCTAAATTCTGCAGCCTTGCTAAAACTAAGATTCTGATGGTTCCAGAAACATACCTCTCAAGCAGTGGATTTTGATGACAGGCAAAAGTGGGTGAGAAAATGGCAGCTGAGTAATAAAGGTCAGGCATAAGAAACGGAATGGAAGAAGGCATACTTATAGAAGTTGAAAAGAAGTCGAGATGCCCCCAGCATTTGCGGAGGATTGTTTTGAACATGCCGTTCTTGATGCAATATAACTGGAATATATAAAACAGGGTCATAAATTTCATTAATGAAAGCACGTGGCACAGGAAATGGCTATTTCACTTTCAGTGTTTTCTGTCATTCTCCACTGGGAGGTATACCTCTAAGATGTGGGGTTACTGAAGGTGTGGCTCACGGCGGGGGGGGGGGGGGGGGAATTGAAGTCATCTGGATTGGGTGATTACAGGGTTTGATATTCAAAGCATCCCTTTGGTGTTCCAGACACAATGACTTCAGAAAAGGATTGGAAAAGTGGTTCAGTATTAGGTTATAATGTGCTGCCGTATCCTGGGAAAACAACTTTGAATCATCCTTACAAATATCCCCAATTTGATTTGTATCCAGTGAAATAATTGTGTGCTTAGTATTGGGTGAAGTCTGTACAGAGGATGCTGGGGCAGAATGGAAAATAAGTCTGGGACTGCTTATCTTTAGCGGTTGTATAATTTGTATAACACAACCCTGACCTTTTGTTTCAGCCGCAATTCCTTGTAATTGCCTTGCTTTGAGGTAAGCTTGTATTTACTGTCTGTTTTTATTGTTTTTAACAGCCTCGTCAGAGAGTTCTCCATAAACCTTACCAGCCTCTAAAGCTGCTGCCCTGCCAGATGATACAAAAGTGAAGTTTTCCTTCATGAAAAATGGGGGGAGGGGGGTAAAAAAAATAAAGCATAAGCAACGGCACTGCCAGAGGAAGACAACCACCAAGAACTGGAGAATGACCCAAAATCCAATCCATCACATCAATGGGATAAGCTCTGAAATGTCTTGGTTTGCTTATGGAATTAAACTACGGTCTATAACACAACAATGCTAACTATCTCCAGCGAATCATTGCTGGGGCTTCTACACTGGAAAACTGCTTCCAGTTTTCATCACTGTGTATAAACTTTGTGCTCCCATCAGGGAATTCTCTGTGACCATCACTAAAAATAGGGGGAGATGGGGTTCTTTGTTTGTTTGATTTAGCATGGCAACTACTGGGTTATACTATGTATGCAGATGGGCATGGTGTTCTCATGGGAGGGGTGGGCGGGAAGTTCCAGGTCTGCACACTCAGTGGAAATGTTCACAAATATCCGTATTCTACGTCACCTGATAGGAATGTAGACATATTCTGTATGTGTTAGTAATGCTGCTGAATGGTATTCCATCTTACACTATCAGCATTTTGTATGTGTTCTCAGCATAGAGGTTTTAGCAGATTGGGTCCTCTTATGGGGAATTCTCTGAGAACACACCTGTTAAGCATTTCAGGTACTTGCATTGGGATTATACTTGTGTATAGCTATGCTGATTCATTCCAGGATGCTTTGGTAATACATCCGAATGCTGTTATAGCTGTTTTGACACTTGACTTGTAGACGTAGTAGAATGAGAGCACATAAGCTTCTTTGTTGCACTAACCCTCCAAAATTACAAGTAGGACTATACATCTCTTGTTTTTGATGCATGCTAAGGAAGAAAATAACCGTTCTCTTGTTGTAAGAGTCCCTTGGCTTTGATGATGAAGAAAGACATGACATTTTAAGAATCATGGGGCCAGTCTGGAAGTATTCTCACCACATTCAGGACAAATGTATCTTTTACCTGGGTGAACTTCAAAAAGCTTCTTCTACAAATTTGGAGCAAAAGCCAGCTATAGAAGTACCAATTGCCTAGTTCAAGTGACATCATTAAATCCAGCTTGTACACATTCCTGGAACAGTTTTTTAACTGTTTAAATGCTGGCTGGCTTTTCATAGGAAAAACAATGTGAAGAATGACCAAATAAATTAATCCACTTATGAATGTGGCTTTAAATAAAATGTGTTTTTCTAAAAAGTCACACACCTACTTGAACATGGACTGACTGCTGTTCCAGTGTTTGGCTTGCTGGTATGAACACTGTGGGTGAGGAGCTTAATGTGCCCACTGTTTAAATGTTATGTCTATCTTCATTCTATTGGTGTCCATGGTCGAAAGTAAGAATACTTGAAAAAAATACTACCTTCCCCCTTTTTTGTCTTTATGTATATGGATAAATGTTTTGAATGATGACATTGCAACTTAAGGAATGAAGACTGCAATTGTTCGTAGGGTAGTAAAAGGTGTGTAGCCATTAAGATCTTCCTAGTGTCTTTGGAGGACTGAAGCCTTCAGTAAAGTCATGCCAATTGTGTTACTAAGCAATTCTATCCAATAACATTTGCAAACTTTGACATCCATCTCAGTCCTGGGGTTCACCCTTTCCTTCAATCCTATGTGCCACCTTGTCCCCAAATTTCTCTTCAGTTGGCCTCACAACTCACCACTAAGGGTGACAAATTTGGTGTCAAGCCAAAATGTCTAAATGCAAAGATGCTCTGGAATTTTGAAGTTCTACAATAGAGTGTTAAGAGGCCATCCATTGGGTTCCAATGAGCCTTTGAATCTCTCTTAGCTGTCTGCTTTCCTCTCACAAAATACCAATTTACAAGGAAACTGACTTAGAAGCAGAACTTTCAACACAACTGTAGCCGGCTCAAGACTGTTGCATCCAAAGTGAGCTTTGCTCTTCATTCAGTTTCTAAGTTGCCAAAATGCAGCCGACTGTGGCTTAATTTTCATCTGTAGAAATTCCAGGCGAGTGCTTTCTGTCCAGTTGCTTGCTTTGGTTCCTTCAGGAAACAAAACTGTAGCAAAAAATAATGGTAGCGTCCATTGAAAACTCCAGAGACTAAACCTTGTAGTCTCTAAATCAAGTGATAGGAGGTTTATGACTGATCTCCCTCACCTACCTGATAGACTGTTATATTATTGAATGGCTTCAGATATGCCTGTCTGACATAAAATTCATACAATTAGAATTCCTATCTTGGAGCTTTGTCATTACAACAAGTAACTTCATAGGGCATCCTTGAAACCAGCTGCTCTGTGTTCCTACTTGGATCTTAAACTGCTTATCTCTTTTTCTTCTTGTAATCTGCTCCTTCTTATAATCACTTGCCATTTACACTGTTTCTTCCTCTGCCAGTCTAGATATAGCAGTGTCTTGCAGCCTTCACAGAAGAACTCAAGAATTCTACATCTACGCATTTGCTAAGTCAAGGGTCAGTCATAACTGCACAGCCTCGGGGCAGTGGTGTAAAGTTGTTATGACAGATCTGTTTAAGGGGGAAATCTAAATCCATTTAAATTTAGAAACCCATTGCACGTTATGGTGACCTCTAGTCAGGGCATTCATAATGAATTGCCAGTATTTTCTAAGCCTGGTTAAGGGGCGGGATGTGATGTGGCTTCTGGTACTGGCTTCTCCATTCTTGATCTTCACAGGGAAGATGCAGAATGTTCTATTAGATGAAGGAAAGAGTCCTTCCAAATCCTCATAATACAAAACGTCCAATTTAAACTTTGTGGGGAATGGTTTACCATGACTTTGTAGGCAGCTTGCACTCAAGATGTCATTCTAATGCAATGGTGAGGCTCACAATGACTAAGTAGGTGATCGCTGCAAGATTAGAGGTGTGAAAAACATTGCACAACATGAAATTTCTTAAAGAAAAGATTGGATGCGTGGGAAAGGGAAAGAGGAAGAGAAGAAGAAATGTGGTAAAAAGAACAGAAAGTTCATTTGTGCTATGCCATGCAGCTACTGATATAGGGGACCCTTTTTACAACTAGTGCCTAAGATGATTATCAACTGTAGTGACAAACCTAATTTATGTGTGCCTAGTGGAATTCCTGGTTTCCTTATACATCTTCTCAGCACTTTCTCTTCCACCAGCAGCTGTTCATTGTGCATACAGGTTTCCAGAATCATCAGCCTCTCTTGGCAATCCATTTACAGATTCCTGATGATCTCTTGACCTAAAAGAAGAACAGCCCTTCTAGATCAGACCCAAAGATGTATCTGGTGCAGCATTCTGTTCCCAACTGTGTTCTGCCAGTTGCTTCTGGTACCTTTCAAACAGGGCATGAAGACTTTGTTTGTTCATCCCCACTATCTGGAATTCAGATATTTGACAATCCTGGTCTATCTTCCTACTCCCTCACATTTGGATGGATTGGCATCTCAAACCTGCATTGAAGAATGGTGTTAAATGAACCATAAGGGTGGGGCTTGCCCAGCAGATCCTTTGCATGCAGAAAGTCCAAACTCGGCCATCAGCATCTTAAGTTAGAACCATCTCAGGTAGCAGGACAAAGGAGGACCCCTCTGCTTGAAGCAACAGTGAAGTTCTGCCAGTGGTGGAGACAGAATAACCTGACTCTGTGTAAGCAGGTTCTATTTTATATGACACATATAGAAGCATGACTGTGCACTAATTCCAGGATGATCCATAGCTTAGCTAGCTATGAAGCTAACTCAGCATAAATTCTGAACATTAATCTTTTTCCGTGAGATCATTTCAGTATCGGGACACGGTGGCTGTGTCCACCTCAGCTTACACTTAATCTTCTAAAGGCCACTTTCTTTCACTTGTCTTCAGAGGATTACCCGTTTGTCATCAGTGTTGCTCTTGTCCAGATCCTTTCCAGTTTCTCAACCACCTGATTGCCCATAATTAAACACAGTATTTTATATCCAGTTATGTTGCAGTGCTTTTCTACTCTGTACCTCAAGGAACTCTTTCTATCATGACTTCTGGAGCATGTGCCAGGGTGCATATTCCTATTCTTATGTGAGTAATCCATTGGGTCTGTTGCCCCACATGACCTGAGAGGCCACACCCAATTAGTAGAAGATGATTAGTAGTAGCAGAACTATCCCTGCCATTATTGATCAGCTCACTATCTTCCTGTGGAACCTAGGGTTCTTCAGAGCACAGTTTTGAGATATACCTTTCTGTTAAGTATTCTTTCATATGTTACAGTGTGTACGTGTGTGTGTGTGTGTGTGCGCGCGCGCGCATGGGAAGGTTGTTTTTTGGTTTTGTTTGTCTATTCCAGGATAATTTCCATTAACAAGATCTACAGGTACTATTATGTTTCGTTCCATGGGCCTAAAATCCAAAGGTGTTCTCAGGTATTGCCTTTACCCAAAGCTGAGGTTAAACATTGGGTTACCAATACAACAGTTATCATTTTTCTTGTATTTTTGGGGTATGTGGCTCTAAAAATAACTGCAAATCTTTGCCATACTTCCTTCCATTCCATCCCATAGAAACCATAGTTTGCTTGACTTGCCAGCAGTGGCACTGTGGAACACAATCCAACCAAAATGAGGCACTTCCAGGTCTCATGGGTCATAACAGGACAGAATTAAGTCAGTGTGTCACTCTCCAGTTTAAGTATTTCATTTTAGATGGAGAGCATCCTTCAGATTTGAATCAACAGAAATTAGTTCTAGCCTCCTAAGCTGACACTGGGAATTGCATAGCCATTTCTCGTGATTTTTCTGGAATTCCAGGCAATATGGACTGCGTTTTGAAATATGATCTAGGCAGAAATAATCATATTGATAATATTACCATGAGATTAAAATAAAGGTCCGATCAGCTGCCATATAGAACTGCTCATTGCTAGCATAACTGTGATTTCTTTGAGGTGCTTTTTTTGGGAATAAGCAAGGTATCTGAAAAGAGCCTTATAATCCACTCTTAGTCATATAACAGAGTAGCACAATTATCAATCCACTGTGGCAATATCATGGCTGATAGCAATTTGCAAGTTACTGGATCTATCCCCAGTAAGGCAAGAACTGTTGATACGTCACACAGGTACCTCTCCAAGGCCTTCCTGTTCCCAGCTCTGCACAGTGTTAACCGCAAGAGTTGGAAAGGGGACAGAACTGCCAGTGGGCTGTTTTTTCAGCCTCCCCAATGCTGCGGAGCTACTAGGAAG